TGGATAAGAAATCATGACCCACACATATGTGGCCTACAAGAGACCCACCTCAGAAGAAAAGATCCACACACACTAAAAGTGAAAGTGAAAAAGCTGGGGTAGCAATACTCATGCCAGACAAAATAGACTTCAAAACAAGGGACACAAAAAAAGACCTAGAAGGTCACTTCATCATACTCAAGGACAGAATCCAACAAGAAGACATAAACATTGTAAATAAATATGCACCCAAAATAGAGTACCCAAGTACATAAAGAAAATCTTAGAGGACTTTGAGAAAGATATTGACAGCAACACAATTGTAGTAGGGGATTTTAACACATCACCGTCAAAAATGGATAGATCTTCCAAACAAAATATCAACAAAGATTTTTGTGGCATTGAACAATGTCCTAGATCAAATTAACTTAACTGATATATAGAGAGAGCCTTTCATCTTAAAGAAGCTAAATACACATTCTTTTCAAATGCACATGGAACATTTTCAAAGATACACCACATGATAGGATGCAAAAAAAAGCCTCAACAAATTCAAGAAAATTGAAATCATATCAAGCATTTTCTCTGACCACAAGGGACCAAAACTAGAAACCAACCTCAAGGAAAAAATCCAAAAACACTCAAACTCATGGAGATTGAATAGCATGCTATTAAACAATGAATGGGTCAAGAATGAGATCAAGGAGGAAATCAAAAGGTTTCTGGAAACAAATGAAAATGAACTGACTACAATCCCAAACATATGGGACACAGCCAAAGCAGTTGTGAGAGGAAAGTTCATAATGATACAGGCCTACCTAAAAAAGATAGAAACGTTTTTAAAAAAAAAAAACAAAACAACTTAACCCTATGCCTACAAGAACTCGAGGAACAACAACAAAGATAGCCCAGAGCAAGTAGGATGAAGGAAATACCCAAAATCAAAGCAGAATTAAATGACGTAGAGACTAAAACACAATTCTAAGGATCAATGAATCCAGGACTGGTTCTTTGAAAAGGTAAACAAAATGGACTAGCCTTTAAACAGACTCATCAAGAAAAAAAGAGAGAGGACCCAAATAAACAGAATCAGAAATGAAAGTGGAGAGATTACAACTGATACCACAGAAATACAAAGTATAATGGAAAATTATTATGAAGAACTATGTGCCAAGAAATTTGAAAACCTGGGTTAAATGGACAAATTTCTAGAAAAGTATAATCTCCCTAAACTGAATGAAGAAGTGGAAAGCCTGGACAGACCAATAACAGGTGACAAAATTGAAGCAGTAGTAAAGACACTCTGAACACACAAAAATCCTGGACTGGATAGTTTCACAGGAGAATTCTACAAGGCATTTAAGGAAGAACTAATCCTTATCCTTCATAGACTATTTCAAAAAATCCAAGAAGATGGATGACCCCCCAAGTCTTTTTATGAAGTGAGACTCATCCTTATCCCCCAAAATAAAGACATACAAAAGAATACAAACATCAGGCTAATATCGCTGATGAATATAGATGCTAAGATGCTCAAGAAAATATTGGCAAAGTGCATTCACCAATACATTAAAAAAATCATATACCACGGTAAAGTGGTCTTCATCCCAGGGATGCAAGCATGGTATAATATTCACGAATCGATAAATGTAGTACATCACATAAACAAAATGAATGACAAAAATCACTTGATCATTTCAATAGATGTGGAAAAACCATTCAGTAAGGTACAGTGCAAATTTATAATAAAAACAGTCAGCGAAGTGGGAACAGAGGGAGCATTCCTCAACATAATAAAGGCCAAATACTACAGACCTACAGCCAACCTCCTAGTCAATGGGCAAAAACATAAAGCTTTCCCATTAAGATCAGGAATGAGACAAGGATTTCTGCTTTCACCAGTCATATTCAACATAGTATTGGAAGTCCTAGCCACAGCAATCTAACAAGAAAAAGAAATAAAAGGCGTCCAAACTGGAAAAGAGAAAGCAAAACTGTCGTTATTTGCAGATGACATTATGGTGTATATATAAAATCCTGTAGACTCCTCCAAAAAACTACTCAACCTATTAAGTGAATTTGGCAAAACAGTGGGATACAAAGTCAATATGTAGAAATCTAAGGCATTTCTGTAAACCAATAATGAAATATGTGAAACAGAAGTCAGGAAAAAAATTCCATTTGCTATAGTAATAAGAAAAATAAAATACCTGGGAATAAACCTAACCAAGGAAATAAAAGATCTATACTCAGAAAACTACACAACACTGAAAAAAGAAATTAAGGAAGACACAAACAAATGGAAACATATGCCATGTTCATGGATCAGAAGAATTAACATCTTCAAAATGTCCATACCACCCAAAGCAATTTATAGATTCAACACAATCCCTATTATGACATATTTCACAGATATAGAACAAACACTTCCAAAATTTATGTGGAACCATAAATGACCCCAAATAGCTGCAGGATTTTGGAGAGAAGAACAAAGTAGGAGGACTCACCGTACTTGATATCAAACTGTATTACAAGGCCACTGTAACCAAAACAGCCTGGTACTGGGATAAGGACAGACACATACACAAATGGAACAGAACAGAGAGCCCAGAAACTAACCCAGGTCTCTCTGATCAATTAATATTTGACAAAGGGGGCAGAAGCATAAAATGAAATAAAAATAGCCTCTTCAACAAAGGATGTTGGTAGACCTGGACATCTATGTGCAAAAACATGAAACTTGGTCATGAACTTACACCATACACAAAAAGAAATTCAAGGATAAAAGACTTAAATATAAGTTGTGACACCCTAAAAGTTCTAGAGAAAAACATAGGCAGGAAAATTTCAGACATTCCACCCAGCAATATTTTCGCTGACATGTGTACCATAGAGCAAGGGACATAAAGGAAAGAATAAACAAATAGGACCTCATCAAATTAAAACGCTTCTGCATGGCTAAAGAAAATAGCATTAAAATGAAAAGAGCACCAACTGTATGGAAAAGTATATTTGCCAATGATACCTCAGACAAGGGTTTGATCTCCAAAATGAATAAAGAACTCACATTACTTCATTCTAGGAAGACTAACAACCCAATAAAAAATGAGGAAATCCTTGAACAGATACTTTTCCAAGGAGGACATACAGAGGGCCCAGAGACATATGAAAAGATGGTCAGCTTCACTAGACATCAGAGGTGCAAATTAAAACCCCAATGAGATACCACTTCACACCACTCAGAACGGCCATCATAAACAAATCAACAAACAACTAGTGTTGGAGAGGATGTGGAGAAAAGGGAAGTCTAGTGCATTGTTGGTGCTAATGCAGACTTGTGCAGCCTGTGGAAAACAATATGGAATTTCCTCAGAAAACTAAAAATGGAACTGCTTTTTGACCCAGCAATTCATCTGCTAGGATTATATCCTCAGAACCCTGAAACACCAATCCAAAAGAACCTATGTACCCCAATGTTCATAACAGCACAACTTACCATAGCCATGTGTTGGAAGCTACCCAAGTTCTCATCAGTAAATGAGTGGATCAAAAAAAAAAAGAAAAACATTAACACAATGGAATACTACGCAGCAGAGAGAAAGAAGGAGCTCTTACCCTTTGCAACAACATGGATGGAACTGTAGAGCAACATGCTACATAAAATAATCCAGGCAGTGAAAGAAAAATACCATATTATCTCACCTATAAGTGGAACCTAATCAACAAAACAAGCAAGCAAAATATAATCAGAGACATTGAAATTAATAAGAATCTGATAGTAACCAGAGGGGAGATGTGTTGGGGGGATAAGGGGAATGAAGGGTTTCCAGGAACAACTATAAAGGACACATGGATGAAACCAAGGGGACTGGTAGCAGGGGATGGAGGTGGGGATGGCTGGGGTGGTGGGGTGGTGGAGTGGTGGTGGGGTAAATGCAGACAACTATACTTGAACAACAATAAAATACGTTTTTTTAAAAAAAGAAATTAGAATGGCACTGGCTGGTGTCCCTCAGTGGATTGAGTGCCAGCCTGTAAACCAAAAGGGTTCCTTTTTGATTCCTGGTCAGGGGACATTCCTGGGTTGCCATCCAGGTCCCCATGGGGGTGTAAGAGAGGCAACCAACTGATGTTTTTTTTTTCCTTTTTCTCCCTCCCTTTCTCTTTCTCTAAAAAATAACTAACATTTATAATGAACAACAACAAAAAAATTCAATGAAGGAGAAAATAGTCAATAATAGAACAAATTAATAAGTAAAACTTGGTTTTTTGAAATGAACAACAAAATGAATGCAGTTTATTGTAGGTAAATTATAACTTAATACATTTAATTTAAGGAAATATATGAAAATAACCAAATCCCAGAATTTGTTTATAAAAAGTTGTGTATTTACTCTTATATGTTTAAACTTCTGTCAGCTTCAAAGTACCCTCTATTTGATACAATACACCTATCAAGACATGTTTTCCACTGCTCCAGTTTTTGAACTAATTAATTTTGATGTGTTTTATTGCTTCTGCCATTTTTTGTTTCACCTCTTCCATATCAGCAAAATGTTTCCCTTTTAGGAACTTTTTTACTCAGGGGAAATAAAAAAGTCATTTGCTGTAATGTCAGGAGGAATGGGGGGTATGGGTGTCATGTCATTTTTTGGTCAAAAACTGTTGAACACTCAGCGTAGTGTTGGTAGATGTGCTTGTAAATCATTCATCATGAAATGAGCAAATTCGTTAAAAGAGTCTTCAAAAAAACTTTACTGAAGCCAAATGCAGCCTCTCACAAAAATGCCAGGTGATACAATGATTCACATGTGTTCCTAGAACACTCAATTTGTGGGATAACCTACACTACAAAAGGGCCTGCCCTCCAGGTGACAATTCCAGTTTCTTTGTTTTCCCCTCATGTTTTGGAGGACATAGAGTTTTCTCCAGTTGAAGTAGTCATATGTAACTACATGCTTTTCAGGTTTCATATTCCATTTTCTTAAAGTTATTCTTAAAGTCTATGCTTCATTACTCACCTTCTTGTATGTCCTATAGATACCAAAGTAAATGTATTGATTGAGAAATGTTCTTAATTTCCACAGAGTTGTTTCCCAAAGGAAAACCAAGAGAAGGCAAATAAGGCCTATGGCACTCATCATAATCATATATTTTCCAATCATTTTCTCTTCTAAAGAATAAACAGTCTTTTCAGTGTCTGAGAATGGCAAAGGGAGAGAGAAAGAGAGATCTTACTGCAGGGACTGACGTAATGAACAAGGCCTAAGAAAACAATAAGTAGGAAGAACTGTACAATAAAATTAAATGTTAGGATAAGTTGAGAAGCATTTAGAGTGTGAGAAGTGGTTGTTCTGCAACACATACAGTTTGAATAATAATTTTTTTATTGTTGTTTAAATACAGCTGTCTCCATTTTCTTCTCATCATTCCCCCCATCCCAGCCATCCCCACCCCCACCCTCAATCCTACCTCCTGTGACTTTGTCCACGTGTCCTTTAAACATGTTCCTTGATAACTGTTCCCTCTTTTCCCCACATCATCCCCTCACACCTCCCCTCTGGTTACTGTCAGTTTGTTCTTAATTTCAATGTCTCTGGTTATATTTTGCTTGCTTGTTTGTTTTGTTGATTAGGTTTCACTTATAGATGGGATCATATGGTATATGTCTTTTCACTGCCTGGTTTATTTCCCTTAGCATAATGCTCTCCAGTTCCATCCATGGTGTCCTGAAGGATAGGAGTTCCTTCTTTCTTTCTGGAATAGTATTCCATTGTGTAAATGTTCCGCAGCTTTTTGATTCACTCATTTACTAATGGGCACTTAGGCTGCTTCCAGCAGCTGATTATTGTAAATTGTGCTGCTATCAACACTGGTGTGCATAGAATATTTTGAATTAGTGTTTCAGGATTCTTAGGGTATGACCCCTGCAGTGGAATTCCCAGGTCAAAAAGCAGTTCCATTTTTAGCTTTCTGAGGAAATTCCATACTGTTTTCCACACTGGCTGCACCAGTCTGTATTCCCTATTCTCTACAACCTCACCAACACCTATTGTTTGTTGATTTGCTTATAATGACCATTCTGATAGTTGTGAAGTGCTATCTCAGGGTGGCTTTACTTTGCATCTGTCTGATGGCTTGTGATGCTGACCATGCTTTCATATGTCTCTGGACTTCTTTATGTCCTCCTTGGAGAAGTGTCTGGTCAGGTCCTTTGCCCATTTTTAAAATTAGATTATTTGTTTTACTGCACCAAATAAGTGAACTTGACAGAGAAGTGGGATACAAAGTCACTCTTCAGAAACTGAAGGCATTTTGTACACCAAAAACAGAATGTTTCGTGATTGAGAAATCAGGAAAAAATTCCACTTGATATAGCAACAGGAAAATAAAGTATCTAGGAATGAACCTAACTAACAAGGTAAAAGACCTTGTACTCACAAAACTACAGAACACTGAAGAAGGAAATTAAGGAATATACAAATTAACAGGAGCATGTACTGTGCTCATGGATTGAAAGAATTAATATCATTTAAAGGTCCATACTACTCAAAGAAATCTATGGATTCAATGTAATTCCTATTAAAATGTCAATGGCATATTTCACAGATATAGAACAACTAGTCTGGTGCTAGCAGGCATACTAATCAATGGAACAGAACATAGAGCCCAGAAATAAACCCATGTCTTTATGCTCAATTAATATTTGACAAGGGGTCATAAGTATAAAATAGAGTAAAATAGTCTCTTCAATAAATGGTATTGGGAAAGTTGGAATTGTACATGCATAAAATGAAGCTAGACCACCAACTCATACCATTTATGAGAATAAACTCAAAATGGGTAAAAGACTTCAATATAAGTCATGGAAACATAAAAATCCTAGAAGAAAACAGGCAGGAAAATCTCAAACATCTTTCATAGCAATATTTTTTACTGATCTGTCTCCTAGGGTAAGGGCAGCAAAGGAAAAAAAAAACAAATGGGATATTTGCCAATGATATATCTTATAATGGGTTAGTTTCCTAAATATATAAAGAACTTAAGCAATTCACAACCAGGAAGACAAACAATCCTATTAAAAAATGAGCAAAGGACCTGAATACACACTTCTCCAAAGAGGACATGAAAATAGCCAAAAGGCATGAAGGAATGCTCAATGCCACTAATCATTGGAGAAATGCAATCTAAATCCACAGTGAGGTTCATCTCATACCCACCAGAATGGCTGCCATGGATACATCAATAATGAACAGGTGCTGGTGCAGATGTGGAGAAAAGGGAACCCTAGTGCTCTGTTGGGGATGCAGACTGGGAAAGCTTCTGTGGAAAACAGTATGGCATTTCCTCTAAAATTTAAAAGTGGAACTGCCTTTTGACCCAGTGATCCCACTTCTGTGAATATGTCCTAGGAATCCTAAAATACCAACTTGAAAGAATATATGCACCCCTATGTTCATAGCAGCATTATTCATAATAGCTAAGATCTGGAAACAGCTCAAGTGCCCATCAGTAGGTGAATGGACAAAAAAGCTGTGGTAAATGTATACAATGGAATACTATGCAGCCATAAAAATTAAGGAAATCTTACCTTTTTGGTATAGTATAGATGGACCTGGAGGTGTTTTTTTTTTTTTTAAATTGTTGTTCAAGTACAGTTATCTCCATTTTCACCTCACTATGGCCCCCATCCCACCAGTCCCCACTTTCCACCCTTGAACTTACTCCCTTTGTATTTGTCCATGTGTCCTTTATACTTGTTGCTTGATAGACCTTCCCATATTTTCCCCCATTATATCTCTCTGCCCACCCCTCTGGTTACTGTCAGTTTGTCCTTTATTTCAATGTTTCTGGCTATATTTTGCTTGCTAGTTTTTTTTGTTGATTCGGTTCCACTTATAGGTGAGATAATATGGTACTTGCCTTTCACTGCCTGGCTTATTTCACTTAGCATAATGCTCTCCAGTTCCATCCATGGTGTCCTGAAGGATAGGAGCTCCTTATTTCTTTCTGCTGTGTAGTATTCCATGGTGTAAATGTACCATAGTTTTTTTTTTTTATCCATTCATTTACTGCTGGATATTTAGGTTGCTTCCAGCATTTGGCTATTGTATATTGTACTGCTAGGAACACTGGGGTGCCTAGGTTCTTTTGAATTGGAGTTTTAGGATTCATAAGGTATTATCCCAACAGTGGTATTGCGGGCTCAAAAGCCAGTTCCTTTTTTAGTTTTTTGAGGAAATTCCATATTGTTTTCCACACTGGCTTCCCTAGTCTGCATTCCCACCAACAGTGCACTAGGGTTCCCTTTTTTCCACAACCTCACCAACACTTGTTGTTTGTTGATTTGTTTGTGATGGCCATTCTGACAGGTATGAAGTGGTATCTCACTGGGTTTTATTTTGCCTCTCTGATGACTAGTGATGTTGGACATCCTTTCATATGTCTCGGGGCTCTCTATATATCCTCCTTGGAAAAGTGTCTGTTCAAGTCTTTTGCCCATTTTTTAATTGGATTTTTATGTCTTCCTGGAGTGGAGTCATGTGAGTTCTTTATATAATGGATATCAAACCCTTGTCTGAGAGATCATTGGCAAATATATTTTCCCATATGCTTGGTTCCCTTTTCACTTTACCTTTGTTTACTTTAGCTGTGCAGAAGTTTTCTATTTTGATGAGGTTCCATTTGTTTATTCATTCCTTTATGCTTCTTGCTCTACAGGACATATTGGTGAAAATATTACTGTGTGAAAAATATGAGATTTTCCTGCCTATATTATTCCCTAGGATATTTATGAGGTTGCAACTTATGTTTAAGTCTTTTATCCACCCTTGAGTTTATTTTTTGTATGGTGCAAATCGGTGATTGAGTTTCAGTTTTTTGCATGTAGATGTCCAGGTCTACCAACATCCTTTGTTGAAAAGGCTATTTTTACTTCATTTTATGCTTCTGCCCCCTTTGTCAAATATTAATTGACCAGAGAAATCTGGGTTAGTTTCTGGGCTCTCTGTTCTGTTCCATTTGTGTATGTGTCTGTCCTTATCCCAGTACCAGGCTGTTTTGGTTACAGTGGCCTTGTAATACAGTTTGATATCAAGTACGGTGAGTCCTCCTACTTTGTTCTTCTCTCCAAAATCCTGCAGCTATTTGGGGTCATTTATGGTTCCATATAAATTTTGGAAGTGTTTGTTCTATATCTGTGAAATATGTCATAATAGGGATTGTGTTGAATCTATAAATTGCTTTGGGTAGTATGGATAGTCTGATGATGTTAGTTCTTCCAATCTATAACACAGTATATGCTGCCATTTGTTTGTGTCTTCCTTAATTTCTTTCTAAAGAAATGTTGTGCAGTTTTCTGAGTACAGGTGTTTTATTTTCTTGGTTAGGTTTATTCCTAGGTACTTTATTTTTCTTGTTGCTATTACAAATGGGGTTTTCCCCCTATTTCTGTTTCTCTTATTTTATTGTTGGTTTATGAAAATGCTTTAAATTTCTGAATATTGACTTTGTATCTCATTCTTTTTCCAAATTCACTTATTATACCATGGAGTAGTTTTTTGGTGGAGTCTACAGGATTTTTAATGTACAGTAGCATGTCATCTGCCACCAATGACAGTTTTGCCTCCTCTTTCCCAATTTGGATGCCTTGTATTTCTTTTTCTTGTCTGATTGCTGTGGCTAGGACTTCCAATACAATGTTGAATAGAAATGGTGAAAGCAGACATTCTTTTCTTTTTCCTGATCATAGTGGGAAAGCTTTATGGTTTTGACCATTGAGTATGATGTTGGCTGTACTTTTCTCTTAATGCCCTTTATTGTGCTGTGGAATGCTCCCTCTATTCCCACTTTGCTGAGTGTTTTTATCATAAGTGGGTGCTGTATCTTATCAAATGCTTTTATTGCATCATTTGAGATGATCATGTGGTTTTTGTCTTTCCTTTTATTTATATGATGTATTACATTTATTAATTTGAAAATATTGTACCATTCTTGCATTGCTGGGATGAATAGCACTTGATCATGGTGTATGATTCCTTTAATGTATTGGTGGATGCTGTTTGCCAATATTTTGTTGAGGATTTTTGTGGCTATATTCATCAGTGATATTGGTCTATAGCTGTCTTTCTATGTTGTGTCATTATCTGGTTTTGGAATTAGGATGATGTTGGCTTCATAAGAAGAGTTTGGGAGTCTTCCATCTTCTTGAATTTCTGGAATAATCTGAGAAGAATAGGGGTTAGGTCTTTCTTGAATGTTTTTAAAAATTTTCCTGTGAAAGTATCCATGTACCTAAAGGTTTTTAGCCAAGTGAAATGTGGCAGTCAGAGAAAGATATATGTGAAATGTCACTTATATGTGAATCTAATGAAAAAAATAAACTGATGAACTAAATAGCAAAAGAGGCATGGACATATGGAACAGACTGATAGTTGTTAGTGGGAAGAGGAATGGAGGGACTGGATAAAAGGTGAGGGAACTGGCCAAAGATTGTATTTGCATAACTCAAAGGCACAGATATCAGTGTGCTCATAGCATAAGGGAAGCAGAATAGGTTGGGTAAAAATGGGCAAGGGCAGGGAACATGAGACATCTCTAATTATGTCAACAATAGAAATAAAGTTTAAAAATACATCTTGAGTTTGTGAAGATTTAAAATAACATATGTAAATTTATTAGGTGATTTATTTTTAGTAGCTCAGTTCTGCATTTAACGACAACTTTAAACTTACCTTAAATTTATTTTGCTTTTGAGATTTTATTGTATTTATGAGGGTGTATCCCCAGCCTTGTAAAATGACTCTATGTCCTGAACATGTGGCCTCACTCTCTCTTTTGAAGTAAGGGCAGATTTCCCTCATTTCTCATTGGCTGACCCTGAGACTAACTTCTTAGAAATTTAGGAACTCCCAAGATACTTACTTTCTTTATCACAATTTATGTAGGCAGCAGGTTTGTTTATGGAGCACCATTTTTTCATCTGGTGGAAAGTAAAATAGTCAGTGATGCACTTTGCCAGGTTGTAATTGGGAAAAAGCAATAATGACTCAAGTATGAAGTTTCTGGTGGCATTTGACATGTTATGTTCATTTTCTAAAAAGATAAGATAGGATATCATTATAGGGAAATGTACTATCCCCAAGACAACAAATTTTCCAATTTATGATCAAGCCAAGCTCAGGGAATTAACAACCAGATGATTACACTTGAAGAATACTAATTAGTTCCCAAAAGGTTTGTTCCATTTGATAACACATGGCGGTTGATGTTGATAATTGAGGAATTCTGAAAAGTCTTTTTGATTAAGTGGGTATCCATGTAAATCTTCCTGGCACCCATTATGAACATAAATCAACTACTGTCTATTTTTCACATTTTGAAATCTTATCAATCAAGTAAGGGAGGGAAACATAAGAAATACAGCCTAAAATTCAACAGTAAGGAACAAATAGGAAAATTATGATTTATTCAAGAGCACAAAAATCTTCAAAAAAACCATTTAATGGATAACTATTATCTTTCCAAGGCATGTATTTAATATAAATAATAATTAGAGGCTAAGTTCCTGGAGATATGAACATGCTTAATTTGTGAAATGGAATTTTAGAATTTTGATAATTAATTCAGTTTTGGGGGAAGAAAATAAAAGGTTGAAAAGAAAATTCACATAAGACATTTTGAGCAAAATAGAAATGATCAAACAGTCAAACCTCAAGTGCCAAAGCCAAACTAATTCTGTCTTGTGTAGAACTTAACTTGATACAGAAACAAATAATTGATCCAGATTGAATTTTGGATATTGTCCACTTGAACAGACACCAAAAATGGCACTAATTTTATAGATCAATACTATCTAATATAACTTTTCATAATTATGGAAAAGCTCTATGGCTGTATTAATATGCACATATGGTTATTGAGCACTTGAATTGTGGCTAGTGTAGCTATGGAACTGAAATTTAAATTGTATTTAGTTTCAATAAATTTAAATGTAAGTTTAAATAGCCACATGTGGCTAGTGGCTACCATACTACACAGTACAGGTATACTATGGTGTCTTTTGGGCTCACCCAGTGGTGTTGGGAACCACCTTGTCTGGTTTTGTAGGAGGGTGCAGCCAAGGGGTCCCCCAAAGAAGGATTTGTAATGGAGTTCAAAACTCAAGGTGTCCAGGTGATTTTAAGATGTCCTCACCCCCACCCCCCAGGTGTGGGTTGGGGGAAGGGACAAATGAAGCAGAGCCATTGAGAGCTGTTTCCCATAGCAACAGCCTTATAGCTACCCTCTGGTGTGGTCATTGAACATATCTATAACCTTTAACTGGTTGCATAGATATGTTAAATAGCTGTGACCAGCTCTGAGCCAGGGGAATGGAAGTAACTTCCCCACCAAGATGTAACTGGGGGGCAGGTCCCCTGAGTTACAGCACCTGCATGGGAGCTCAGAGAAGATTGGCTCCATGACATGGGGCCACACCTGCTCAGACTCATAATGGCAGCCCAGTAAAGCTGGAAGGATATGAGTTCTGGCTTGTGAAGCTGAGTGTGGGAGGAGTTGGAAATGGGGCTGCAGAGGAAGATTGGCCACGGGGATTAAAAACCCAGACTTGGTGGCCATTGAGAAGAGAACCATGCAGCTGTGGCAGTGCAGGGAGGACAGCAGCCACTGAAGAGAGAACCATGTGGCTTTAGCAGAGTGGGGACTCCTGCAGCTGTGCAGACACCGTCCGTGATGTAGCCGCCTGCGGCTCCTCTCCTGCCAGGCTCTGAGCCCCAGCCAGCTCTGCAGCCTCAGTGGCGAGAAGGGGCCACCAGTAAGTGACTCAGGAGCACCAGGTCACCCGCCAGGCCTCCACATGCTGTGCCCGCACTCTCACCTCTAGGACTTAGCCAACCTTGCAGCCACCTGCTCTGGCCAGGACAGGATGAGCTCCGCCCTAGCCCTCTCGGTGGTGCTGCTGCTGCCGTTGCTCTCCCAGAAAGGGGGATCACCGCCCCCCCCGCCACCTCCCCACCCCCAGCCATGAGAAGAATCACCACGCGGCTTTAGCTGGAGATCCCAGCAACAGAGCTGATGGTGCTGGGAACTAAGGAAGTCCTGCCAGCTGAGCACAAATTACTAGGAAAAACCGAGAGCTGCCTAAGCCACGGACTTCTATTTCTTTTCCTGAGATATGGTACTCCAGACTGGGCAAAGGGGGGAAGGAAGGACTTTGTATGTTTGTGGGTGTTTCAAGGGACTTTGGGATTTTAACAAAGACATTAAGTCATTACTTTTAGTCTGTATAACTTGAATAAATAACTCTTTTCTTTTTCACCAATCTCTAGCATGAAGAGCTATAATTCTCTGGTTTAGGGAAAGGTGAACCTAGTACAGGGGGACCCCAGGAGAAATGGGGATTAATTCCGTAGCATTGTGGGACCCTCTTCCCTGGTGGCCAATTGGGGAGGATCATGGGAAACCACATGTGCAGTAGCTTTAAAGGAATGCAACTACTTGTATATACTCAGTAAAAGCCCACCAAAACTAGCCAGGAAGGATCCACCCTATAAAAATAAAGTCCCTCCAGCCCATCAGGTCAATCTCTGCTTGGAGTTGGTCTGCTCCCATGTTCTCTTCTATGAACTCTGGGTGTTTGGTTCAATTCTTTGTCCCGATCACTAAGAACCTGGTTACCTGTGCCCACCTGTGACAGTTTCAGAAGCTGTAACACCCCATAGCTAAGGCTGAGTGAGAGACTTTGGGACCCTACGCCACTGAAGAGACAAAGCTTATCCCCCTGGAAGGAGCACTGCCTCTGCCCACTTTACTTCACCTTGCCTGGCCCCAGTGCATGACCGTTTAGCTGGTGATGGGTAAGATTCCTCAAGGAAGGGACAACTTAAAACAGTCATGGTCACGTGAGGGCCCTCAGGGAAGGACTTGAGGGGCTATGGAGAAAGGGGGTGATGGGCCCTCACCTCTTGGCTTTGACATAGCCTGAGTCCTCATTCTGTCTGCAAGAAGCCTCCTAATCTCTTGGCTGTCTTACTTCCCCTCCTGGACCTAAGCCTGAAACAATGCAGGAGGTGGGTGTGGCCCTGTGTTGGAAAGAGTGGGTTCCCTGGGGTGATGAGGTCTATGAAAGAATGCATAGAATCCTGTGAAACCTTTGCTAATACCCTCAATTTAAATGATTAGGGTTCAAGCACGAAATGAGTTTGTTTCCCCAAAGTTTTATGGCCCTTTAGCTATTTGACCCTAACTCAAAATAGGCCCTCAGAGTTCTTTGAATGTTATTTATTTGATCATTACTGCCTGACAGTGATGATGAGCTTTCCATATATGCCCTGTATTCCTATGCAAATTAAAGCCAATATAAGCTTGTCAAGACAAGATTCAGGGTGCTTTCCTCTTGAGTGAGTGGCCGAGGCACTTTGAAGAGCTCGTCCCTTGACAAACTGGCTGTGCCATCCCTTTTCCTCCACAGGACTCAGTAGTCATGTTAATTTGTCTTGTTTCAGCCATAACACTGTGGACATTGTGAAGTGGAGTCCATGTCACAGTGGCAATCATGACTATCTTCTAATCTCCAAAGAGGAGAAAGATCTTTTGTGAGGAACAGAAACAATATCTTACCTGATAAAATAATGAATGATTCATTAGGGATGGGAAAAGGTAAAAACTGACAAAAATGTGTTATTAAAAATAAATATCCAGTTCAGTAGGGGCATTGACTGGTCAGAATGGAATATAAATCAACTAAATTGTACAATACTCTAAACCTGGTGTGGCCATCTAGATGCACACTGTTGGAATGACAATTCTTTACAGGGTCATAGTGAAGCCATGTTTCATGTGCCCACTTGACTGGCCCTGGCATCTGTTTTCCATACTCTAATAATAGTTCCTCAGATTTGTAGCATTTTTGAATGGTAGTTTCTTTCTTTCCATTCTGCATTTGTTTTATTTTTCTTCTACATTACACAAGTGACATAAGACCTAATGCATAATGTTTAACAGAAGTGGTCACTCTCATCCAGTTCTTCATTTTTTGAAAGAAATGGTTTTAATGAGTCATTGAATATTATATTTACTATAGAGTTTTCCATTTATAAAATTAGGTATTTTCCCCCCTAATCCTATTCACCAATATATTTTATCATGTATAATTGATTTTTCTGCATCTATTGTGATAGTAATTATGTTTCTCTTGTTAACCCATTAAATAGGAATTTTATCTATACATTTTCTAATATAAAAGCAACCTTAGATTCAGTTTGCTAATACTTTGCTTACAATTCTTGAATCTGTGTTCATGAAGGAAATTAATTAATGATTATCTTGTTAGTTTATGGCCTTTGTTAATCTCATAGAAATGGTTGGAAGTATTATCTTATTCTTCTCTCTATTAGCTGGAAGATAATATAGAACTTAGCAGTAGAGTAATCCAGGCCTTGTGTTTTCTTTGTTAAAATAATTTAAACTATGAACTACTTGAATTCTTGTAGTACAATTTGAATTTTCTAATACTTCTTAAATCAGATTTAGTGAGTTTTATTTTTTTTCTAGAAATGTAACAATTTGAAGTTCTTAGATTTGTTGTCTTGACATTGTTTCAAATAAGATGATTGTTATATCATCTTATTTGTTAATGTATAACAAATATATACACTTTATATTTTTATACCTAATATTTATCTTAATTATACAATCCTAACTATCTGATTTAATGAAGTTATTGGTATTATCTATTGTATACATTTGTTTCTCTTTGATTAATTTTTTTTCTTATTTGTTCATTATTTCTACTGTTTTTACTCTGCTACTATTTTTCAAAATTATTAAGTTTGACAATTTATTAAGTTTTAGCCTTTTTCATGGTAGTAGTTAAAGCTATAAAATATCTTGCTGTGCAGTATTTATGTTACTACAGTTCTAAATATTTGCTAGTTTATATTATGATTCCCTCTTTGGCCCATCAATTATTTAACAATGTGTTTTAAAATTTCTAATTGTGTGTTCTTTTTCTAGCTATTTTTTTTACTGAATACTAATTTAATTAAAAATGGCAATGAATGTGTCATATATTAGTCTTCATGGCATGTCATCTAATCAGTTTAAATGTAAAGGCTCCATGTGTGTTTAAAACATCGGTTTGAGATCCTATGTTCTCTATATACCCATTGACTGGTTTATTAACTATTCAGTAGATATCAGTTATTGAATTTCTTTCCCTGCTTAGTATTTTAGTTACAAGAGAGGTATGCTAATATCTCCTTCTATGATGTTGTATGGTTTGCCTACTACTACAAGTAGCTTTGGAAATTTTCACCGACTATACTACATAGTATAACTAGGTAAGTAAAATTTTGTAATTAAAAAATTTTTAAATTTATTTGATTGATTATGCTATTATACTTGTCCCATTTTCCCCCCTTTATTCCCCTCCATCCTGCATACCCCCTACTACCCACATTCCCCCCCTTCAGTTCATGTCCATAGGACATACATATAAGTTCTTTGGCTTCTATATTTCTTATAATATTCTTAACCTCCCCCGCCTATTTTCTACCTACCATTTATTCTACTTACTCCCTGTACCATTTCCCCCATTCTCCCTTTCCCTCTCCCCTGCCGATAACTCTCCATATGATCTCCATTTCTGTGGTTCTGTTCCTGTTCTAGTTGTTTACTTACTTTGTTTTTGTTTTAAGTTTGGTTGTTAATAATTGTGAATTTGTTGTCATTTTACTGTTCATAGTTTTGATCTTCTTCTTTTTCTCAGATAAATCCCTTTAACATTTCATATAATAACAGCTTGGTGATGATGAACTCCTTTAACTTCATCTTATCTGGGAAGCACTTTAGCTGTCCTTCCATTCTAACTGATAGCTTTGCTGGATAGAGTAATCTTGGATATGTAGGTCCTTGCCTTTCATGATTTTGAATACTTCTTTCCAGCCCCTTCTTGCCTGTAAGGTCTCTTTTGAGAAATCAGCTGACAGGCTGATGGGAACTCCTTTGTAGGTAACTGTCTCCTTTTCTCTTGCTTCTTTTAGATTCTCTCCTTACATTTAATCTTGGGTAATGTAATTATGATGTGCCTTGGTGTGTGCTTACTTGGATCCAACTTTTTGGGGGACTCTCTGAGCCTCCTGGACTTCCTGAAGTCTATCTTCTTTGCCAGATTGGGGAAGTTCTCCTTCATTATTTGTTTAAATAAGTCTTTAATTTCTTGCTCTTCCTCTTCTCCTTCCAGCACCCCTATGATTCAGATGTTGGAACATTTAAAGTTGTCCCAGAGGTTCCTAAGCCTCTCCTAAGTTTTTTTTTGAATTCTTGTTTCTTCATTCTGTTCCAGATAAATGTTTCTTTCTTCCTATGGTTCCAATTGATTTTTGGGGAATATTTTTATTTTATTTGTTTATTTTTTAAAGCTTTTTAAAAATTATTGTTCAAGCACAGTTGTTTCTATTTCTCTTCCACCACTCCCCCAGCCCCTACACACCACTGCTATCCCCACTTCCCAGCTCTTTGTTCCAAATTGTTGATTTGAGTCCCCATTTCATTCCCTCCACTGTTGGTTCTCTGTGTATTTTCCTTTATTTCATTTTGTGTAGCCTCCATTTCTTCCTCCATTTTGCAACCAAGCTCAGTCAATTCTGTAAGCATTCTGATTACCAGTGTTTTGAACTCTACATGTGACAGGTTGTCTATCTCCTTATTGCTTAGTTCTTTTTCTGGAGTTTTGATCTGTTCTTTTATTTGGACCATATTTCTTTTTCTTGGTGCACGCATTATGTGATAAATGGTTGAGCTTTAGGTATTTGCCAGGGCAGGGCAACCCTCTTTGCTGTGTTGGAGCACTGTCTGTGGGGGAGAGGTTGGAGAGGGAACAATGCCTCTTGCTTGGTTCTTTCCCTACTTTCTGTCACTTTTCTTGCTTCCCACAAGTGGATTCTGCCCTTTTAGGATTGCTGACTCTCAGGTGGGTGGCTTTGTGAATGTTCTAGGATCCCATGGGCCTCTCCAAGGGACTCTCCTGTGAGCCTGGGAGTTTTTAGTACCTTCTCAACCCCCACAGAAGTTACAGCCAGAGGTTTTGACTCTTTAGTTTCTGGGTCAGCCAACCCCCACCTCACCTGAGTCTCTGCTTTCCTGTGTGTCCTCTCCATCTGGCTGCCCATCTCTGCCCCTACTACCAGTCTGGATGAATGTTTCTTTAACTCCTTGGTTGTCAAGAGTTCCATGTAGTTTGATTGCTTTGCAGTTCTGTTTTGTTTTTAATTGGTTGTTACCTTTTCTGGTTGTGGGAGGAAGTGGAGCATTTTTACCTATGCCTCTGTATTTGCAGGAACCTGTATCTATTGAGTTCTTAATGAAAATTATTATTAATTCTTTTAATTTTTCAAGATTTCATTGGGATTTCTTTCAAATCTACTTGTTCTCTATCTATACATATATAATGCATATATATGTAATATATGTGTCTATATTACATGCATATATAATATATGTTCTATTATTTATTATATATTCTGTAATTTTCTCATATTCCTGACACTCTCTGTGACTATTTACATATTTAAAAAATATATATTTTATATTCTATTCTAAAACTCCCTGAATCTTAAATTTTGCAGGTCTGATTCTGATTTTACGGTTTGTGGTTTTGCTAGCATTTGCTCTTAAGGCCTTGATTCTTTTTTTCCCTTTGTTATTTTAACCTGATCTCAAGTTTTCTAGATGTTACCTGTGGGACTACTCTGAAGTCTGGGAATTGTGCATACTTTTACCACTCACCTGGGGACAAAATCAACTGAGGTTATTTATTTATTTTATTTTATTTTAATTTTTTAAATTTTAATTTTTGTTCAGGTAGTTTTCTGTCTTTTACTCCCATTCCAGCCCAGCCCAGCCCCCCAGCCCTCCCCACTTCCCTCCCATTTCCACCACCCCCCAGATTTTGTCCATGTGTCCTTTATACTTGTTCTTATAAACCCTTAACTGAGGTTATTTAAAATAAATGATCAAATTATGTTTTTTGGCTTACATGGGTTCATAGGTACTATAACTTCAGAAGTAACCCATATGGGTACTTGCTTGTGGTTACAAATTCCACAGAGAATTACTATTCCTTATTCCAGTACCAAATTCAAGCACTGTAAATTTCCTATCTATGTCCTATTTTGGCATTATTTAAATTCTGTTCACCTTTATCATGAAGACATAGCCATTTTAACCTACAATTCTAGATAGGAAGCTACTAAAACTTTGTTGTATATGCTTTTGTGCTTTTTATTCTGACCTCTGTCTGTGTTCATCACATCTTATGAAAATGCAAAATTAAGGTCACCAGATTCTGTCAATAACCTCACATCAAATCTGCCATTAATTCCTGCTTACCTTCAAGGAGACATACTTCTACTTTATTGTTGGTCTATGCCAATTCCATACTTTCTTCTCAGTTCATTATTTTGGCAGAACATCAGTTGCAGTTTTTTGCTGCTTTTCACTGGAAGTCTCTTTTGACATTCTGATTTCCAAATCTACTGGCTTTGTTTTTTGCTCTCACCATTCATGACTGTTTGTGAAATATTCATCCCCAAAAATGTTTTTTAAACTTTCCAAAACAATCATTTCTTCTTCTTTTTAAAAATTGAGTTTATTGGGGTGACACTGGTTCACAAAACCATATAGGTTTCAAATGAATACAACTCAATAAAACTTCATCTGCACCCTCTGTCATGTGCCCAAGAAAAGTCTCTTTATACCCCCATTTACCTCCCTTTGCCCACCTCATCCTTCCTGTACTTCCCTTTTCCTCTGGTTATGACCACACTGTTGTCTGTATCTACTTATTTATATATTTATACAAGTATATAGCTATTTCTCTCTAGTCCCTTAATCATTTTATTCTAGGTTAGGGATCAAATGCCTTCAGGGGAGTGTTACCTATATGACACAATATTTCTTTTCTAAGAAGTGTGCAAAATATATAGATATTTGCTTTCCATAATGTGAAGATTCCTTTGAGAATGAGTGCTAATGCAAATCTCTTAAAACTTTTTTCGTCTGTTACCCAGAAGCTTAAGTCTTGTTACTATGAAACACTCAGTCTTTTATGACAGGTGAAGGACTACGGCAATAAGGCATGAAGCCTGTGTTTGTGAAGCTCTGACAACAGGGAGGGAGGAACTGATCAGGTGCTGAATCCAGTTCAAACTCATGTAAGAGAAGGAAAAAGAGGAGATGCAAATGTGAGAATACTGCAGAAGCCAGGCTGTGAAGGAAGGGCAACTGGCTTTGTTGTATGGATATCAGGTACATACGGAGTTTTTCTTCTTTCTGGAAAGTCTTGTTTGGTTGCTCAGGGTCTTTTGCTTTTTCATTAATTTAGAAAAGAAGAGCCACCCCATAGAATCTTTTCTGAATAAAACTGTTGGCCTCTCCCAAGTACTCAAGATCCCTCACCATTCTTCTCTGTTGTAACCACACTATCAAGTGCCACAATATCAAGGGATAACAATTTTAAAGATAATAAAGGTCTAGGGTCAAATTTATTTTTGGTATAATTTATTTTAACTTTTTGAGGCCTGACCTTTTAAGAAGAAACCTGCCCTTTTGTTTTCATTTATTCTCTGTCTGGTTCTGACAAATGAATCACAGGAACAAATGCTTCTAAAATTCCCAAAATCTTGTGCAAAGCCAATTCTCTAAGTCATATGAGAGAGCTACAGAATGTTAAGATGGAGAGGAAGAATCTAGTCAAGAGACCTATATATTGGGTTCAGTCCCATCATTTCAGTTCAAAGATTTCCACTAACAAATCTGGAGTAGTATCACAGGCACTCAAAATAATTTTTATTGATTTATATCAAGTTCATACTCTGGTTTCTCTTCAGATTGTATAAATCTTTTTCCTTCTACATCAAGTTCAGGATTTTCCCAAAACCTGGAACTTAATTGTCTATTAATGTTCTCAGTTATTTACTTATTACTGCCTTCTAGGGAAGAAAGCATCTTATGAAGCCCTTACACTTACCAAATTGAAATGTGGTATCTATGAGGAGACTGAAAATGCCTGAAAGGTAGTTGAACAACACAAGTTTGATGTAGGCAGAAGTACTTTTAGAAAACAGGAAGCTCAGCAGGTACATGAGGGGAATGGCAGACCAGCCATACAGCATGAAGATCAGCATTGTGTCCAGGAAGTGGTAATCTGTGAGATATATATCTAGCTGGCAGAATTTAAACACTCCCTGAAACACACAGGGTATAGAAAGTAAAGGCAAATGAAACCTAAGTGCAAAAATAATGAAAGCCAGAACCTTTAGAGAATGAAATAGCAAGCCCTCTCCTTATTTACCACAGATGTATTCATTAATTAAATAGTTTACCCTCTCAAAAAAAGTCCCCAGTCATCCTCTTCCCCAAAGGGCAGTCCAGGTAGCAGGACCTTTATAATTCCCTTTATTTCCTTTTTTCTTTTTACCTTGAAAGGGATTTTTTAAAAATTCATAAACAAAATCAGTATATGTTCCCTCAACAATCCTAATTATCAACTTTCCCAGAAAGTAGATTATTTCTCTAAAGAGAGACTATTTCCTTCAAAGACTTTTTCCTCTTGACTACATACCTTACATATCACTGCTATCCACTTTTAGACTGGGTCCCCTAGCTCTATCCCATTCCTCTACTCCCATCACATCCACTCCAGCAATTCTGAGACCTATTTCTAATTTTTTTCTAAGTACTTTTACTTTTACAGTGTCTTTCTCACCAACACAGTGAGGTAAGCAAGGTGGTAATCTTATTCTCATTTTACAAATCAGTTTAGAGGTCTGCCTAAGAACACTGGAAAGTGGCAGAGTCAAACTTAGCCAAAGTTATTGTCTCCAGGTTCTATAGTCACATTGGCATTCCAAAATACCACTCCCATCCTTTAAAATTTTTTGGTTATTACTCTTTTTGTTTTTTAACTTGTTCCCCCCCCCCCCCCGCCATAGTCCACTCTACTAAATAATTACATGCAGCATCAACAGGCTTTCTTTAGTATCCATGCCTATCTACTTTTTAAAATTAAATTTATTGTGGTAACATTGGTTAATACTATATGTATCAAGTGTATATTTCTGTAATACATTATCTGTATATTGCATTGTGTACGCATCACCCAAAGTCAAATCTTCCTCCATCATCATATATTTGTGCCCCTTTACTTTTACCGGCCCTCTACTTCCTTTCTTCTGGTAACCACCATACTGTTGTCTGTGTCTATGAGTTTCAGTTTTATATTCCACACCTGAGGGAAATCATCTGGTTCTTGAATTTTTTTCATCTTAGCATGATATTCTCAAGGTCCATTCATGTTGTCACAAAGGGAAGTATTTTACCTTTTCTTATGGCTGAGTAGTATTCCACAGTGTATATACACCACATCTTCTTTATCCAGTCCTCTATCTAAGGATAATTTGATTGTTTCCATAGCTTGGCCACCATGAATAGTGCTATAATGAAAGGGTGCACATGTCTTTGTGAATAAATCCTTTCAGACTTTTTGGATAGCTACCCAGAAGAGAGGTTGCTGGGTTATATGGTAACTCTATCCTTAATTTTTTGAGGAGCTTCCATATTGTTTTCCAGAGTAGCTGTACCAGTTTACATTCCCACCAACAGCAAATGAGGGTTTCTTTTTCTCCAAAACATCTCCAACATGTGTTATTAATTGTCTGGTTAATAACAGCCATTCTAACAAATACGCGGTGGTATCTCATTGTAGTTTTGATTTGTATTTCTGTAATAGGTAGTGAAGTTGAACATCTTTTCATGTATCTTTTGGCCATTTGTATGTCTTTTTGGGAGAAGGGTATGCTCAGGTCCTTTGCCCATATTTTTAATTTGATCTTTTTGGTTGATTTTGAGTTATATGAGTTTTTAAAAATTAACCCCTTGTCAGAGCTGGTGTTTGCAAATATCTTCTCTCATTTTGTTGGTAGCCTTTTTGTTTTGTTGGCAGTTTCTCTTTCTATGCAGAAGCATTTTAGTTTCATATAGGCAGATTTATTTACTTTGCTATTACTTCCCTTGTGTTTGAAGTTGAATTCATAGTCTCTAAGAACAAGGTCCATAAGTTTAGTACCTATGTTTTCTTCCACGTAATTTATTGTTTTGAATTAATTTTTGTTTATGTGGATGAACTGTAGTTAATTTCATTTTAAAATTTTATTCTTTTGCATGTGGCTTTCCAATATTCCCAGCACCATTTATTGAACAGACATCCTTTTCTCCATTGTGTGTATGTGGCTACTTTATCAAAAAAGTACTTGCTCATATGTTGGGAACCATCCCACCTGGTTTCCAAAGCTATAACCCCACTGAAAGGTGAAAAGGCCCCATGGCTAGGGGACCTTGGGACTATAAGCCACTAAGGAGACAAAACTTATCCTCCTGGCAGGGGCATAGCCTCTGACCCCTTTACTTCACCCTGCTTGGCCACTGGAGGATGGCTTGATAGTCAATGACAGGTAGGATTCCTCAAGGAAGGAACAATTATGAAGACAGGCATAGTTGTGAAGGGGCCATCAGGGAAGGACTTAGGGGATTATGGAAGAAGGACAAAAGATCCTCACCCCTCAGCTTTATCATAGCCTGAGTCCTCATTCTATCTGTAAAAAGTCTCCTAAACTCTTGGCTGCCTTGTTTCCCTGGCCTGATTCAGGCCTGAAACAATGCCCAAGAGGGATGCTGGAACTGGCCATTCCCAGTGGCAGGGGTGGGGAGGGGAGAGCAATCAGGCCTAAGAAAGAACACATTAAATCCTGTGAAACCTGGAATGATTTGCTAAGAATGTTCTCAATTTAAATGTCAAGGGTCCAAGCACAAAATAAGTCTGCTTCCCAAGGTGATTGGCATCACCCTGTCTGCCAGACCCTGATTCAAAAGAACCCCTGTAGCCCCAGAAATGTTATCTGTAAACCATACCTCCTTTCTTTGATATGCATTCCTATGCAAGCTAAACTCAATAAAATCCCATTGAGAGAGAGAGACTCAAGACCTTTCTCCTCTGAGAGAAAGGTCTCTCCTCTAGTCAGTCAGCCTTTTCTCCCCAAGCAGATTATGTCTTAGTAGACTTATTCTCATCTGTGGCAGCTGGGAGAGCTCTGCTGGATTAAGCTCCCTCACACTCATATACATGTGGTTTAATTTCTGGGATCTAAATTTTATTCTATTGGTTTGTGTGTCTGTTTTTCTTCCAATACCATGCTGCTTTGATTGTCATAGCTCTGTAGTATAATTAAAAGTCAGGTAGTGTGATACCTCTGGCTTTTTTCAGGATTATTTTGGCTATTTGGGGTCTTTTATGGTTCTATAGCTGTCTGATGATTTTTGGGATTCTATTTCTTTTGAAACTGTCATTGGGATTTTGATGAGGATTGCATTAAATTTGTATATTGCTTTGGGTAATATGGCCATTTTAACTATGCTGATTTTTCTAATCCATGAACAAGGAATATCTTTCCATTTTATTGTGTCTTTTTCAATCTCTCTTAATAATGTTTTGTAATTTTCCATATACAGCTCTTTTAACACCCTTTGTTTATACCTGTGTATTTTATTCTTTTTGTAGCAGTTGAAAAAGGAATTGTTTATTTTTCTCTGAAATTTTATTTTTTAGTCTATAGGAATGCAGAGAGCTATTTAGGTCCCCTATAATGATTGCATTTTTGTCAGTTTCTCTCTATGTTCTATTAGTGTTGCCTTATATATTTCAGTGCTCCCTGATTGGGTGTATATATATTAAGAAGTTCCATGTCTTCCTGATAAAATATCCATCTTTGTTTCTTGTTACTTCTGTTATCTTGAAATCTATTTTGTTGTATTTAAGAAAGGCCACACCTGCTTTTCTGTGGATGCTATTTGCTTAGAGAATCATTTCCCACCATTTCACTTTAAGTTTATCTTTGTCTTTGTAGCTGAGATGTGTGTCCCAAAGACAGCACATTGTTGGGGACAACTCTGTGTGTTTTCTGAGACTATAGCCCCTCGAGAGCAGCCCTGAAAGGGGCTAGTAAGTCTCCCTGGAAAGCCAGGTGAAAATGCAGGTGGCAGACATGACACAACTCTAACACCCAGGGTTCCCATGGGAACAAGGCCTGATAAATACATTGTATCTTTTGAAGCTTGCTCTACTTTGTTTCATATTGCCCTGGTGATATAAACCAAATGTTTAAGTTCAAGGCAATAAAAGTCATTTGGGAGAAGGGCTTGTGGCATTCTCCACTAGAGGGAATTGCTACTCCCTTTCCCGCTGGAACAGGAAGATTGTGTCCGGGATGACTTATTTACCATCTGCAGCAGAAGGGAGGATTCTGAGAGCCAGAGTTCCTCCCACATCTGGTGCCCGAACAGGGACAGAGGCTATGAGCCATCACTGGGGACAGGCATACCTAGACAGACAGGATTCAGCACCTTTCATCCGACATAAGGGACCAGTGGCACCAAGAGCTTTTTGGTTATGCCCAGATGTGTCTAAGATAAGGGAAAGGGGATTTCTTCCAGGGACACCTCTCTTGTGGTCATTATGCGTTAGATAAGTGGAACCAGGGCTATTTGCTTTCTTGTCTTTTAGGAAACTTGGTTTGATATTTGTTGTTTTGCATAACTCTAGAATCTTCTGCCTCTGCTGTTTGGGCTGTGCTATTTGAGCCTCTAGAAGTTATTCACTGTACTGGTTGGTGTGAGATAGTGTCTCTGTTGTTTGGGCTTTTGTGTATTTGTGGTACCAGTTGGTTTCAGATGATGTATTTGCTATTTGGGCTTCACGCCATTTAAATCTTGTCAGGGTCATTTTTAGCACCAGGTGGTGTGAGATAAGATTCTAAGGCTAGTGTCTCACTCCCTCCTTTTAGAGGATTTAATTTGAAAATACTGGTTTTCTTGAATTTTGTCTTTGCTTGGGTTTTGTTTTGTTTCTCTTTTGAAAGGAATGGCTCAGTCTCAGTCTCAAAATGTTTTGCTAAATCTCTGGTAAATAGGATGAGATCGCTAATGTTGTTACATCATAAGGATTCTACTCAGAAAGAATTTAAATTGATTATTTAAAGGAGAAAAAAGATCTCACTGCCCTCTCAGACAGTAAAAAGCTCAGGAAGAAAAACAATGAGAAAGTGTGTCTTTTAAACACTCTGAATCCTTCTTCTGGAAGCCCAGGAGCTGCTCCCGTCCTGGGAACAGGTCATGCCTTGCCTGATGTGA